TGAGTACTTGCACGTCACCTCCAGTTGCTAAAGGTACAGTCGCTAACGATGCTCTGTTTGCAGTTCAGCACGAGTGCATTCCGCAGGCCGTTCTGGGCATGGACATCCTCTGCCAGGCCAAGTCCGGCATGGGCAAGACCGCCGTCTTCGTCCTGGCCACGCTGCAGCAGCTGGAGCCATCGGACAACAACACCTGCCACGTCCTGGTCATGTGCCATACCCGCGAGCTGGCCTTCCAGATCAGCAAGGAGTATGAGCGATTCTCCAAGTACATGCCCACAGTCAAGGTATGCTTTAATACACAAAAAGGTCTAATATTATGTAAATCATTTTAAGGGAAAAGAATAGATGATTGGTCTTTTAAGTAACCATAAGTTAGCAGACGTTTAATGTTAATTTGAAATTTATTTTTAGGTTGCTGTCTTCTTTGGAGGAATGGCTATTCAAAAGGACGAGGAGACCCTCAAGAGCGGAACACCACACATTGTGGTAGGCACCCCCGGCCGAATTCTCGCCTTGATTCGCAACAAGAAACTCAATCTGAAGCATTTGAAGCACTTTGTTCTGGACGAGTGCGACAAGATGCTGGAGCAGCTGGGTAAGTTTTTCAATGATCACCAAACCCCTTCCAAGTTACTGACCATTAATCCATTCTTTTAGATATGCGTCGTGACGTTCAAGAGATTTTCCGTAGCACACCGCACGGCAAACAAGTGATGATGTTCTCTGCCACATTGAGCAAGGACATTCGTCCCGTTTGCAAAAAGTTCATGCAAGATGTAAATATCAACGTGTTCATAACCAAAATGCTCGTACTTCTTCACCTCGCATCCACCGCTATCACGACAATTAGTTATTATTTTGTTAATGCCACGCGATATCGAACTCTCGATCTTGATCCCCCGTATAAGCCAACCACCATCTTGCAAATGGTTAAACGCGTACACCCAAACGTCCAGCGCTCTTTGAGCATAACTCGTATCGAAAAAGTTAGTTAATAACTACCAGACACCATTTTCTAAATGGTTAATCGTGGAAGCAGAAACCGTTGCGAAAGCATAAACAACCAGTAACCGCTGAAAGCATCAATTAAAATCACAATGATTTAACAATACCAACGATAGCAAAAAGCAATACCCGAATAAAACTACAAGAAACAGCAAACATCCCGCCGACTGGCCGATGAGACAAGGTGAATCCAGAGCGAATGCGATGCGATATGCCGCTCATCTGTAAACCGCACACTTCTCAGAGTGATCGTCGATCCTCGGGAGCAGTTCAGAGTCTTGTTAATGAGATGTGGTGGTAGCGTGGCCGTATGTAGAAAATTCTAAGCATATTGTTGTATGTTCCGAGGCGAGCGTAGTCTAAGTTCAATTTCTGTGTACCCCTCTTAATTGTGTCCTTTAAAATGCGCCACATTCTATATCCCAAATCTAGCCCATGGAGGTCTACGTCGACGATGAGGCCAAGTTGACACTGCACGGACTGCAGCAGCACTACGTCAATCTGAAGGAGAACGAGAAGAACAAGAAGCTGTTCGAACTGCTCGATGTGCTCGAGTTCAATCAGGTAAGTCATTCTGGGCCTCCTAACTATTATGTACCACTTACTGATGCCCTATCCTTGCCATAGGTGGTTATCTTTGTCAAGTCTGTGCAACGTTGCGTGGCGCTGTCCCAGCTGCTGACGGAGCAAAACTTCCCCGCCATCGGCATTCATCGCGGCATGACCCAGGAGGAGCGTCTGAATCGCTACCAGCAGTTCAAGGACTTCCAGAAGCGCATTTTGGTGGCCACCAATCTCTTTGGCCGCGGCATGGACATTGAGCGTGTGAACATCGTGTTCAACTACGATATGCCCGAGGATTCCGACACCTACTTGCATCGCGTGGCCCGTGCCGGTCGCTTCGGTACCAAGGGATTGGCGATCACCTTCGTTTCGGACGAGAACGACGCCAAGATACTTAACGAAGTACAAGATCGTTTCGATGTGAACATCAGCGAGCTGCCGGAGGAAATCGATCTCTCTACATATAGTGAGTTACAATACGAAATATCCAACCTATCCACCGCAATGCTAACATCATTTATTTTCCAGTTGAGGGACGCTAGAGCGCGAATGTGCATGATAATCGGAACAGAACAGTACTGCGTAAGACTAAAATGCACTTCGAATAGATACAAACTAAAATCTTTTTTAAACTCTACATTATAACAAAATAAAAACTATTCAGACAATGTGTTGACAAACAGAAGCGGATGTATAAGTAATGTATTTATTTTGGGAATGGAAGTAACATATTTTTGTTTTACATTTCCGTTTAATTTACTTTATTAGGCTATACGATTCTTCATAGTTTTGGGGCATATTCCCTTTAACAACATTAGCAATATTAATATGTACAATTTTATAAACTAAATCACAATAAAATGCCCAAAACCCCCAAAAAACCTTTAATCTGATGAACAGATGCCTTGATGGCGAAATAGAAAGCGGGAACTCACCGGGGATAGTTTAGTGTGTCCGTTTCAGGACATGCGCAATGGTCGTGAGCTTCCGGCAGCTGCATTGCGACAGGAAGGGAAGGGGTCGTTGGGGTTGCCCAAGGAGGAGGAGGACGGAAAAACAGGGGACGAAAAACAACGAGGACGTTCAAACAATGTGAGAAAATGCACGCGTGCGAAAATGCTGCTGAAAAAGTATGTGAAAACGCGGCGTAAGCTGAAGATCCTCCTCCTGCTGGCCATCGTCGCCCTGCTGGTCATCACCATCATAGTGCTGGGCTCCAGCGGACGCAATGCGGCCATCGAACTGCTGCTGGACGAGCGATTCATCGCCCGAGCCTACAGGCCCGGGGACCAGCCTCAATCGCCGGAGAAGCCACCGCCGGTGGCCGTGGCGCTGCTCCAGCCGCAGCGGGAGAATGGAGTGATTGTGCCCGAGAAGTACGACGAGCAGAAGATCAAGGAGCGCATCATTCAGAGTAAAATTGATCTGATGAAGCAGCAGCAGCAGCGGGACCACGAGGCGGAGCAGTCTGTAAGTTCCCAGCACAGGTCATAGTACCAAAGTGGTTGAGCCACATCAAAATCCTTGATAGTGTCTTTAAAAAATAATGAAATCTCCTACAAATCTTCGTTTAGTCGAGGACCACTTTGGATGTGGTGATCACCGCCGTGCACATATTCTACACTGCCCCCGTGCCCTGGTACAAGTCCAAGAAGCCGCCACCGCCGCCAGCGGAGCATCCAAACGACGTGCCACTGACTACTCCGCGACCAGTGCGAATCCTCAACACCGCCTTCTATCCGGCACTGGGTCTGTACAAGCCCAGTGCCTCGTTGCTCGCCCAGCACTTTGAGAACATTCGCAGCTGTGGCATCGGAGTGCTCATTCTGAGCTACTCCGGCAGCAAGCCGACGGAGGCGGCACTACTGCACCAGATCCTGGAACTGGCACCGCAGCACAATCTCAGCGTGACCTTCGAGCTCAGTGTGGCGGGGAATCAGAGCGTGGAGTTTGTGCGGCAGCAGCTGCAGGAGATTGCCACATACACCAGCCGAGCTGGGTTCTACAAGGTGTGGAGTCAGTCGAGAGGTGTCGCCCTGCCGGTTCTCTACGTGAGCAATGCCTACAAGTTGAGTGATAGCCTGGGAAGGCTGTTGTGTCGATCGCCTTCGCTGGTGGAACCGGATGGCCTGAGGAGGGTTCTGGATGCCTTATTCATTGGACACATAAGGTGGGGAGTGCCCATAAGATACCTAGTGCTACCCCTTCCTAACTCTCGTTTCCCAACAGGCTTAAGAGCCACGCCGATGTCCTGCGACGGTTGTGCTTCGATGGCTTCTACAGCAAACTGCCCAGCAATGGAGCTGTCTTCGCCAGCACTTGGAAGAACTGGTCGTATCTGAAGTCCTTTGCCTTGTCCTACAAGATGCTCTTCGTACCCACGGTGGGGCCGGGATTCGCGGAGAGGAACAAGTTCCCGCGACATGGAGACATCCAGCGGCACCGCAGCAATGGAAGGGTAAAGACACCATCAATCGCTATGACTTGCCGGGAAATGCAATCTTACATTGTTTAATGTACATTTCACATTGTAGTACTACGGCGTGGCCTGGAGAACAGCCATTCTCAACCACGTGGGCTTCATCAACATAGCCAGCTACAACAACTGGCCGGATGGCAGCCAGATCGAGGAGGTGGTGCCCCGTGCCGGCTTCCTGGACTACAATCCCGGCTCGCGAACGAAATATCTGGATCTCACGGCCCACTGGGTGGGCAACTTTCTGAAGACGCGACAGGAGGCGGCGGCTGCAGCCTCGCCGGCATCGCCTCCAAGCTGCTACGAGCTCCTGAACGGCACTATATGCTAGGAGCACCGGCCACTTCAGCAGCGGAGATAATCCTAGTTACTTTAGAAGCAATAGCAACGATTGCAGGCCACACAATTACTTTCCAACTGTTAAGAAGTCTTCTGCTACACATTTATACACTACATATATCGTTTTGATAGTGATATTTTGAATAACGCGCCTAATGTCGAGTTTTTTGGCGGACAGCTTACCTCACTTCATTCCAATTAAATATTATATGTAGTAAAAGCCAATCAAAATGAGAATTTCGGAAGCGTTGTAGTTTTGCTGCCAAATCACTCGACGAAATATGAAAAGGAAAGCAATTACCATTGATATCAATTAAAAATGTAACTCTAGAGCCAGACGTACTTTTTTATTAAATCTATAATAGCTTTCAATTATCGTAGACTATAGAGGAGAACAATATCATAAATTAATGCCATGCCATATTATGTAGACACCAAAGGAAATTATCTATGTTATAACGATATAAACTAAACACTTGTTAAACGATTGGTACTTAACAAATTTTAACTTTATTACCAGTACGACATATAAATACTTTATCTAAGCTTTAATAGTTTAGTGCCCGAAATCGTTCTTTTATTTCTGGGTCACCTGTTTTTGTATGCCCATTTTTCCAACACTGATACTTCAGTTCTGACTGCTGAAGTGAGCTGTCAATGAGATATTCAATTCATTCGAGGACCAGATTTCGGCAGCACCATGTCAACGCCCAAGAAGAAGAATGTGGAGAGGACCGAGAGCCGGAGGGGCAAGGGCCAAGGACCAGGTGGCGTGAAAGGATGCTGCTGCAAGAGGTCGCAGTGCATCAAGAACTACTGCGATTGCTACCAGTCCATGGCGATCTGCACCAAGTTCTGTCGATGCATCGGTAAGATTTCACTTCTACATACTCCCCAAATTGCTCGCCTCATCACATATCCCGTAATCAGGCTGCAGGAACACGGAGGTCCGCCATCTGGTGGACTCCAACTCCGGCGCCAAGAACTCCACTGCCGTGAAGAGGCAGAAGGCGGCTGCGATGAGCGCAAAGGCAGCAGCTGCAGCCGCCAAGGCGGGCATCGATGTCCAGTTGAAGGGACTGCAGGCTGGCGGATCGGCTGCGGCGTTGCGCGGCAAGGCGCTGGCGGCGCCGCCAAACTTTGGCCTATTGGTTGGCAAACAGCCGATGGCCGCTTCCATGAACATACCCATTCCCCGCCCCCCTGCGACCAGCACTCCAGCTAGGGCAATGAAGCCTCCGGCGGAGACGCAGCCCGGTAATCTAATTGTTCCGGTGAGGCCCGATGATCGCAGGGAGCGGAACCTCTTCGTCCAGCCGGTCAACGCCGCTCTGCTGGAATGCATGCTCATCCAGGCGACGGAAGCCGAGCAGATGGGACTCAACGAACTGCAAGTGGGCCAGTTGGTTCTCGACGAGTTTTTGCGCGGCTACAAGAAGATCTTGGAGAAAATTTGCGAGTACAGCAAAGATTATTATTGAAAGTCAAGAATCTTGTGGCAGTACAATTACCAATTACATTTTGACTTCCGAGCTTACAGATATGTACATTTTTGTCTATAATGCAAAATAATACAATATTCGATTTCTGTCATACTAAATAATTAACAAATTCATTTTGCGAGGTCAGGAAAATTGAAACTACCAATCGGGTGGCTGGAAAATCAATTCCGTAACAAGCATATCGCAGCTGGTTTTCCTTTGGGACAAACGGGAGCCAGTCGGCGTGGATTTGTGCCTGTCCAGCGGCATCTCACTGTCACTGTCGTTCTCCGACTCCTGATCCTCATCGGAATCGTCTTCATCCTCTTCCATGCGTCGTCGCTTCCTTCTGGCTCCTTTCGGAGCTTTTGAAGATCGAAACTTCTGCCAGAATTTCGCGGGTTGAGCGAACTCAATGTAGTTGGGGAATCTCATGGCCAGCGCTTGGCAAAAGGATTCAAAAGTGTGCCTGAGCTCGGGACTCATGACGGACTGCAGATTGCGATGGGTTTCTTCCACATAGCGAAGACAACGTTCCAGTTGCTTGAGCTGTAAAGATTTACACATGTATTTAAAGGGGAAACGTTAATCAGCAGCAGTCAGTTAAACATACTGGCTCCTCGGACAGGTCCGCCTTTCGGCCTCGTCCTCTGCCAGGTGCCTCTCCTGCTTCTGGTCTAGGTGGTGGAGGCGGTGCCTCCGATGGCCCATCTTCGCCTTCATCGCTGTTGTCGCCTTCGCCCCGAGAGCTCTTCTCCTTTCCCTTTCCCTTAGTGCAATAACAAATGCGCCGCATGATGAAGAGTATATCCTGGACCACGATTAGGGCGCCGGGATTATTGATGAAAGCAGGGTCTCTGGTTTTTTCTACAATAATATACATATATATTTGGCATATCTTTTAAATTAAAAATATAAGACAACTTTACTCACCTGCCAGCAGTTTTAGTTGACCGAAGTAAAGCAGCAGCGCGTTCTCATCCATCGAGGACATAATGTGATTGTAAAGCAACCTACGATTTTTGGCCATTTGTGGACCCTTGAGAGGTGATTTGTAGTTGCCATCCGTCCTCACGCCCCTCAAAATGGCCTGACCATTCAGATCGAAGGGACACTCCTTCAGGCAGTGATCAAATAACATTTTGTTGTACAATCTTTTGTAGCGAGTGAAGAAGGCATCCGCCTCCCTGGCCACCTCGGCACTTTCATCCACCAGACCAGCCAGCATGGATATGAGAATGGGACCCTTAAGCTTGATGTTCCCGGAGAGAATCACATCCTTTACGCACCGAAAGGTGCGCACTCTGGTCATGGCAAATTTCGAATGGAGTTTCGACAAAATCGCCTGAAAGTTACTCTCGAGAATTGATGGGTGCTTCTTGCCGAGATCGTTGAGCGCTATTAACGTGGTGTTGATGATCTGAGGTCTGTCATTTTTGGTCAGAATGGTTCGGTACAGCTTGGATGCGGCATTGGCCAGATGATTCTCCCTCAGGCACAAACGACCGGCTATCACAATCATCCAGTTGGTCATGCGCTCGTTATCCGAATCGAATTCCGACTCACTGAGCTTGGTGCACTCCTGCAGGTATTTGAAGACAATGCTCACGATCCTATTGTCCACATCCTGGGCCACCATCACAATTATCTCTGTATAGGCACCCAGCAAGCACTGCAGGCGGGCGTGTTCCTCCTGGAAATTTTGTGCACTGGTTAGAATGCCCTCGGTGAGATCCTCCAGCAAACTGAGCTTCCAGTCTGGTACCTCGGAGGCTATCGAAGGAGACTGGCTGGTAGACAGGTGATGGATCTGGTTGAGCAAGTTGACGGCACTCGAGATGATACCCAGCCAAATGCTGCCCGTCCGCAGGGCATTCAAGAGTTTTTGGAATAGCTGATTAAGAGCTGGCTTGGAGAAGTTTCTCAGGCAACCAATGATGAGCTGCAGGGCCAGAAACTGGTTGGACTTCATGTTGTAGGAGGAGAGGCCATTGAATATGGCAATAAGTGCGTCCATGTTATTGGTGATGCGGCTGGACAGGAACAGCAGCAATCCCCAGGCATCGGTGGCCATGGACGTAGATAAGTGCGAGATTATTACGTTTACTAGCCTGGGTCTGCAAATGTATAAGGAAGCTTTTATAATCTTTTAGATACGTAGCAGTGGCATAACTTACGTTACTATGGATTCCCGCTCCAGTAAAACAGCGAACCTCTCTTGAAGATAAGCTCTTGGTTGTGTCATCAGCAGGGTGCTGATGATTCGCCAGGGCATAAAGTGCTTGGGTTCATTGGAAAACTCCAGGGGCTGAACGTTCTTCAACACCATTCTATCAAAGCTCTGAAAGCAAGTTACAAAGTTAATTATATTCAAAAACTTTCCAGGGACCATCCCACCGAAATAGCCAGTTTTTGGAGCGCCACATCTTCATCGCTCATAAGGCATGCCCAAATCCGGCAGTACACACAAATCAGAGCGAAACAATTGGAATAGGCCTCCAGCAGGGTTTCAATGGTATCCAGCGCAGATTTCCTCACGGAAGCCAAGCGATCCACGGCCAGCAGGGAGGTTTCTTTCACAAAATTTGTGTTATAGATGATCAGGGGATTGACTAGGACCAGTCTTTCTAGTAGAGCTATGCCAGCGGATCGCGCCAAACCATTATCCGCGGCCAGGAAACGCTGGTACACCGTTTGTGGGACGTTCTTGACCTCCAGCTCCAGTTGCTCATGTCCCTGAAAACTGAAGGCATACTGGACGATTCCGGGCTTCTCGAAACGCAGCTCGTTTTGCTCGGCAGAAGGCTCAGCCAAAGCTTCCACATCAGTATCCTCAAACTGAACGAAACGAATGCTTTCCTGCAGAATTTTTTTCGTCATGGGGGATCCTTGTTTCAGGGCCAGGATGAGCACTTGACACGCCTTCCGGCGAACAGTTAATGTACGATCGTTGAGGCAACGCATCACCTCCCTCAGGAGCGGAACCTCTCTGGGTACCTTGGACACCTCGTAGCGGAAGATGCTCCACTCAACCTCGCTTTGCTGTAAGAGGATCTTCTCGATCAGATCCAGAGCACGCGTTTGAATGCCCACAGCATCGTCTGCTTTCACGGCTTCCAGGACAAAATCTGCACAGGATTTGTTGCACTTGGAGAACAGTACCCTGTCGTACTTGGCTGCATAGCCTATAGCCACCTTCTCGTCGTTGCTCTTCCACTGAAACAGTATAGATAACGCGTAAGTATAGGAATTTCGTGAGGTTCCACATGTACTCACCGCTTTGATGGGATTGGAAACCACGCACTCAATGTAGAAGTGCAGGATACGGATGACAATGTCGGGATACTTATCTATGAGTTGGATGAACCAGTCCGATATGTGCTCCCCGCTTTGCATCGCTCCTCCTCGACGGCCTGCTCCAATTATTTGCGGACTATCCGTATAAATGTGCATCGGAAAGGTCTGTCGCATTATTAAGTGAAGTGTTTCGTAGACATCTCCATTGTGCTCGTTGGCTATTTCCCCGAAGAGCTCAAAGCATTTGCCATGCAAGCCGGAAGCACCTGGAGAGTGCAACAAATTTAGTAAATATTTAAACGCTTATCTTAGAAGTTAGTTTTTACTAAACAATTAAAATTTAAAGGTCCGTTAACAAATAATCGAAAACTCGATAGTTTTGGTGCAGTATTGCCAGCATGTAAGAAGCAAAGATCGATAGCTGCATCGTTTTGTAGTGCATCTCTAGCGGACAAGGGAAAATAATGAAATAATAGTGGAATTACGAGAAACTTTTGAACTTCCGGAAGATGTTGGGTGTACTACGTATCCAAGGAGCGCTGGCTTCGACGGGGCAGGCGCGCCTTCTGTCCGCCCGCCTGCTGGCCAGCAAATCCTCCACTGTCATGGCAACAAACCGAGGTGAATCCACACAAGCGCCGGCTACCGAGCACTTTGATATAATCATTGGAGGCGGCGGACTGGTGGGAACCACTTTGGCCGCCGCTCTGGCAAAGAATTCCACGCTGGCGGACAAGAAGGTGCTGTTGCTGGAGGGCGCACCCGAGTTCCGGGGATTTAATCCCACTGGACCATACCAAAATCGCGTATCCGCCATCAACCACAACTCAATTGAGCTGTTCAAGTCCATAGATGCGTGGACGCACATCGAGTCTGCGCGCTACAAGCCCGTCAAGCAGATGCAAGTGTGGGAGTCCAACACGGATGCACTGATCCAGTTCCAGCACGATAACTTTGCCAGCGATGTGGCCTGCATCATTGAGAACGATTTGATCCTCGACGCGGTCTATGCGCGGGTCAAGGAAGCTGCCAATGTGGAGATCCTGAACAAGGCCAGAATCCAGTGCGTCCGCTTGCCCAGGGACTCGAACTCCAATCTCTCCGAGCTGCAGCTACAGGATGGACGCTCATTTTCCTGCGATCTGCTCATTGGAGCGGATGGCGCCAATTCTGTGGTCAGAAAGGAGATGAACGTGGATGTCTTTTCGCTGAACTACGACCGGATGGGCCTGGTGGCCACGCTGGATCTCGGCGAAGATGCCTGTGATAACTCCGTGGCGTGGCAGAGATTCCTGCCCAACGGACCAGTGGCATTGCTACCCCTAACGGATAGGCTGAGCTCCCTGGTGTGGAGCACCACCAATGAGCAGGCCAAAATGCTGCAAGCCCTGCCCCCGGCGGAATTCGTAGACGCCCTCAACGAAGCCTTTTGCAGGCAGTATCCTCGCGTCGAGCTCGCAGACAAGGCTGTTCAGGCACTGAACTCGCTCTTCGGGCACAATGCCACCCAGCACCAGGTGCAGTACCCTCCAAGGGTGTGCGGCGTGCAGGACAAGTCCCGTGCCACGTTTCCACTGGGATTCCTGCACGCCTCGTCGTACGTCTGCAATGGAGCCGCTCTGGTTGGCGATGCCGCCCATCGAGTGCATCCGCTCGCCGGCCAGGGAGTCAATCTGGGCTTCAGCGATGTGCGGTTTCTGGTGGAGTCGCTGGCAGCCGGAGCATACGCTGGCTTCAAGCTGGGCGACAAGCAGCACCTCATCAAGTACGAGCGCAAGTGTCTGGCCAAGAATGTGCCCATCATGCTGGGCGTACATGGACTGCACACCCTCTACTCCACGCAGTTCAGTCCGGTGGTTTTGCTCCGGAGTTTGGGACTTCAGCTGACCCAGAACTTGCCGCCGGTCAAGAACCTGTTCATGCGCGGCGCTATGGGTCAGTAGAGCAGCGACAATAAATGGTTAGAATGGGGAATTTAAATCTTAAGTGTTTACTGTCTGCACATCACTTGTGAGCGGAATAAAGTCAGAGTTTATATAATGTTTAAAACCTACTTAATGCTAGGACAATGGCATGCTGCTGATATATTAGTCTATCGTTTGGATTCGGCCAATAACTTGTGCAACTATTCGACTCATCTACAGCTTTTGAGATGCCTATGTCTATTCCAAGAGAAATATTGCTGCTCAGACCAAAACTGGATGTTTACACTTAAGTTCAAAATATTATTTTATAACAGAAACATAGTTTATATAAATGTGTTATCTTATAGATAACAAACTTTTGTCATTTAGGAACATTTTTAGCGAGCTTAAAAGTTGTGAAAAATTGCACAAAATATTAGGCCATACAATCAAAGCTTTAACCTAAGCTAGCATTCGTTGTTGATATTTTTGGTGGATTCGGGTTAAAGGCACATTTGGCAGTTGTCAAGCTAAACCTAACTTAGTCTAAGTAAAATTTGGCATGGTTTTGTTCGGAAGTTGCAGGAATTTACAGCTCCTGGTGGCTCTTGGACAAGCTCTCGCCCAGCTTTAGTTCCGGATTGAGCTTGAGTTCCTGCTCGTGATCGAAAACCTGTTCGCGGTCGCTTTTTAGCCTGGCCGCGCCCTCTTCACTCGTGTCCACATTGATTTGTTGCGAGTCCTCGGTGTCGGAAATGTAGCCAGATTCGCCAGTATAGTAAATGGGATACAGCAGCAGTGGCGAGGCACTGAAGGCAACGAGATTGCGCTTGGGGAAGGCTTCGGTCCAGGTTTTGTTGGGATGACGATCGAACATCAGTGGCAGAAACTCATCTACGGGTATGAGCTTGCCCAGCGGCTTGGCTGCCAGCAGCTTCAGGGCACCCTGCAGGGATAATACGTAGCCCAAAGTCCAGTAGGAGTAGCCGGCGTGCACCAGATTATCCGCATTCGGCACTGCCGGCTCACTTTCCTCCTTCAAACGCTTGCGGCCAAAGTAAATGAGGTCGTACCTCGCGGCATTTCTGGCCTGATTTAGGATTCTGACAGCGTTTTGTCGGAAATACGGCTCGAAGCGTATATCGTCCTCCAGAATGAGCACCTCCTTCAGCTGCTTGCGCACCATCATCACCCAGATGCTGTAGTGGCTCAGAAAGCAGCCGATCTCGCCCATTGTCATGGCGCGATGATGATAGGGATCCTCGTAGCCGGGCAGAAATCGTACGCCCATCTCCAGCAGCCGTTCCGTGGTTAGTTCTTTGCCATCAACAGCCGGGAAGTGCTCCGCCTCTATTCCGATCTCGTCGAAGAGCAGTTCCATTTTCTTCCGCCTCTCCGGTCGTCTTTTCAGGTTAATCATAAATATATGGTCCAGTGAGAGCTTGCTTTTCTCCGGTTTCTTTTCCAAATGCTTGTAGTTATGCAGTAGGGGAGGCACAGCTCCGAGGTCATTGACCATGATGCTCCTGAGGTTAACCAGCTGTTGTATGTCGTGGTCCAAGGTATCGCCCGGTTCCAATGGCTGCAGTATATAACCGAAGGTTATATCGTTGCAGATGTGCAATGGAATGCCCGAACTGTTGGCCGATATGGCGAACACTATGATGTCATCGGCTGGTCCATCGTACAGAGGTTCCTGCTGCCTGCTTTTCTGCATTTCCACCAGCTTGTTCCTATCGAAAGTGAGATTCCTAACCGCTCTGTGGTTCATGCTCACCAAAACGGCTGTGTGGATCATTGGCACTGGGAAGCTTCCTTGCTTTTTCACGTGGTAGATTTCCTTGTACTCATCAGTGCGCTTGTAGTAGTAGTCCTCCGTCATGCCGCACCAGAAATTGGAGTACAAGCTCTCCGAGATCAGCATGGGAGCCACAATTGGTAACTGGAGACGGGTGAGGACTTTCAGCGAGTCTTTTGAAGTGAGCAAGACATCGGCGTCCAGGAAAAACACAAAGTCAGCCCAAATTTCGCGACCATACTGAAAGGCCTCCTCTTTCAGGGCGATGAGGTGTTTGAAACGCGATGCGGGCCACTCGTACGGTGAGCTCTCGTTGACATAACTCCGCTCCTCCGGTTGAAACTCGTAGTTTATGCTGTGATAGAGATTCCCCGAGTTGTCCAGCCACTGCCGCAATAGCTCTATGCTGACATCGTTGCTGTGATCACACCGCAACCTGATATATTTGGAAACTAAAGGTGAGATTCACAATTCCATAATTGAATGAGTTTACCGACCAAAATGCTATTCTTTCCTTGGGATAATCCTGCTGCTCCAGATAACTCAGGAACATGGGCAGTATGTGGGCCTTGTTGCGCACCAGCAGGGCAACCAGTACCGCTGGCGGCTCCTGGTAATCCTCCTCATCCTGCCCTGAAATGCACCCCAAAATGCAAGCGAGAAGCAGGCCGAATATAACTTGTTTATTCATCTCCACGTCATCGATTCAACACATCGTCGGGTTGAAAGGGGTCACAATACACAATCTGGCGGAGCGGAAGCGTTTGAAATGCGCCGGAGAATCAGATTCGGCGTTATCTATTAATAAACTGCCTCCTTCTTTTCCAGCTCCAGATGGAGTGCCCCTCAAACTGCATCAGCTGTGGCGCCTCTCAAACTGTGCAGCGGTGTTATCGCTTGCTATCGATTTAGTTTAGTTTGAATGAATTTCGGTTGGAAGTTTCTTTTATAAAATTAATTTCCTTTCAACAATTAGTTAAATCAAAGTTCCTTAGAAACTATGCGCCTTTAAAATATCTTCATGAAATCATCAATACAGAAGAACTGGATGAACCAGAATGACTGGAACATTTTAAAATTGGCATAACAAATATTTATTGTTTTCAACACAAAGACCTAACCACCTTTCCTTCACGCACTTGCCACATGGGGCTTGGCATAGCTGGGGAAGTTCAGTTTCAGACCCTCCTTGGCCTCAAAGAAGGTGTACGAAAGGGTGATGGTGTCACAGGTCTCCAGCGCCGGATCTGCCATGATTTCTGGATCGATGTAGAAGAACACGGGCATGTCCACTTCCTCGTGCGGATTCAGTTGCTGCTCCTCGAAGCAGAAGCACTGGATTTTGTTGAAATAGGCGCCCGCCTCGAAGGGAATCACATTGTACGTGCTAATGCCAATAACCGGCTTATCCGTGGGATTCCGGGCCGTGTAAAAGGCTAGTGCAGTCTCACCAGGAGCCACTTTGATCTCGTACTGTTGCGGCTTGAAGTTCCAGCGCATAGAGGATCCGATATCGGCGTTAAAGCGGATCTTCAGCACCCGATCCTCGATCTTTTTCATGTGCTCCACCTTCTCGGCATCGTGCCCTTGCGAGGTGGTGCCTCCGTAGCTGTACGCCTGGCAAAAGATGCTGTACAGCGGCACAGCCGCATAGCTGAGACCCACGATCAGCACTCCGCCGGCGGTTATGTAGTAAAGTGTGGATTTCGCACGCAATTTACGGGCAGCTTCCTCCGGAGAATCCGTCGACTTCATCCGCCAAAATTGGTGTGACTTTTGGACTGAGTTTTGAGGGCGGATGGAGGTCCTGAACAGCTGCTGGCACTGCCCACGGAGGGCACAAAGGCTGCGCAGCATCGTTAGTTCTTCGACTTTATTAACTAACTTTAACTTCCTTTAGGTTTTCATTGATTTAAGCACTTGTTTGTATAATCTTCAGGTCGCTAAGTGTGCTGCAGTGTGTACACACCTAGTTAAGTCAGCTGTTCGCAGGTAATCACAGACAATCGATAGGCAATTGAGTTTGTCATCGTTGGCGAATTTCTTAAAAAATAATAGTTTTGCGACTAAGTTTAACTACAAATAAACTGGTTAAACATTAAAAATAATTACCTATTATGTTCAAAAATACACCACTCGATGGTACATTACAAGACTATAAACTATAAAATAAGACTGTAAACTACTAGTCGAAAATTGTTTTGGCGCCGAAAATTTGTTAGCAATAATTTTCGAAATGTTCTTGTTCTTAAGTTAATGCAAGTTACTATATAACGTAATGGGCTAAACTCACATGTATTTTGATATCCCACTTTAAAGTTCATGTAGAGCACTTCCAACAGGCAACGAATGATCCGGTCGCGCGGTTTAAGGTGCTCCTTGAAGTGCACATAGCGGAAGACGATCTTCAGGTCATCGCAGATGGTCAAGAAGAACATCCAGATGATGTTTGCGCGAACGCTTTTGTTGTTATTCGCTTCCAGAAGCCGGAAGATCTTTAGAACCTGTTCGATCACATCCTCGTCGAAGACGCCAAAGCTCTTGGCTCCCGGAATGGTCAGAGTGAGCAGGTAGGTGCTCGCCGCATTGAGGGCTAGCTGCAGATTGAGGTTCTCATTCAGCTGTTTGGGAGCAGCCTGCTGCACATGCTCGGGCGGAATGACCAGGCTCACAAGCGAGTATATGTACGCCAGATAGCCTTGCGCTGGAGAAAATCCAATTAAACTGGACCAATTGTCGTGGGTGTTGCTATATGTGGCCTGGTTTTCGTCTCTCATGGATCGTATGACGCCGGACAAGTCCCGGAGCAACTGCAGCTGCGTCTCCTGGTGGCCAGTATCCTGTCGGCACATGGCCATGGACCAGAATTTCTCCGCACGCCGCTGCAGCGCGTCGTCCTCAGCATCCTCGCCGTACAACCAGTCCTCCACATCCACCCACTGCACATGCGGCTCATAGTACACTTTTAAATCACTGAAAATAGGATTCAATTCCGACATGTTTACATTTTAGGCGTCCCGTGCCCAAACAAATCGATAACCCAACCGAACAGCTGTTCGCAGCGCTGGCCAATCGATTAACGATGAGACAAGAAGAGCGGTTTGTTTTCAAAATGGTACAAAATCAGGGCTGATATATTAATGCATTTACTTGGCTTATTATTATGCAATTTAGTTGTTTCGTGGTTACATACGCGCACTTAGTTTCTAATTCCGCTGACAGCTAGAAATCCAGCGAGGCTGTGGCATTGGAATTGCTCAGTAGACCGGAGATGCAATTGTCCGGCTTGGCAGATGACTCTTGCAGCTCCGGCGGCAGGTGGAACTTTTCGATGACAAACTTCTTGCGGCGCAACTTGAAGGCCAGGTCCGTGGTGTCCGGCATGTGCACGGCCAGCGTATTGAGGGCCGACATCTTGTGCAAGTGGAGCAGGCCACTGTACTCCTTGAAGGCTGGATGCGTTTCACGCTCCGAACCGGCAAACGACTCCAGCTCGATGGCATAGTCCACCAGTTGACGGATCTTGGGCACCAGGCTGGCATCGTACTTGGCAATCAGGTGCATGGGCATCGTGATCAGGCACACGGAGTTGCAGTTCCGCACACTGGCCATCAGCAGCGTGAGGAACTTGATCAGATCCTCGCCGAAGTGGTCGTCGTACCACAGCGGCGAACCCAACGAGGTCAGGCAGATGCGGCACAGATTCTTCTTGGTCCCAGCCACAAAGCTCTCGTCCCGCAGCAGCTGTTGAATATCATTGAGCAGTCCTCCGTAACGAGGGTTGTGGAAGATCTGCGACTGCGACTCCTGGCTGCCTGTCTTTGTGCTACTGGTTACGCTGCTGCTGTTGTTATTATTATTGTTGTTGTTGGCGGAGTTCTCATCCTGGGGCGGTGTCTTCTCCTCGGCAGCGGTCTCCTCGCCTGGAATCGGTGGAGCATCTTCAACGGGCTGCTGCTCCAGCGATGGAGTAGTCGGGGAGCTGTCCTGGGAGAACTCCGCGGCAATGACAATGTCCTTCTGGCTATCGTCCCACATGGTAGTATTGGCATAATAGAGCATCATCGAGTCCATCTGCTCCATCAGGTTGAAATGGTGTCCGATCTTAGCTGTGGCATGCTCTGTATTCACCAGCGGTAGATCATTGTACCGCCAGGCGATCCTTAGGCCACCAGCTTCCTGACCTTGCTCCTGGCGTTGCTCCACCTCCGTTTCCAGTTCGGTCAGCGGCTTGGGCAGACGACGCAGCATCTCGGCCGGAATGTCGTCCAGGCTGCCCAGAAATATTTCCTGCTTGGAGATCACGCCCTCGGCCAGAAAGTACTTGGCCAGCACTTTGGCGTGCGTCATGAATCGATCCTCCTCGATTAGGCAGATCGAACCCATCGGCAGGCCTCCGCCAATGACCACGTCCAAGGAGGGATTCCCGCTGGAGGTGATCACCTGCGCCGTGTGCGGCGAGGTGCGGGTGCCGCGGATCGGCTTCTGCACGGTGCGCTTGCGGAAACTGGTCATCTTCGTCGCACGGATTTCGCTAACCTTTATTTTTTGCGTTCTTTTTCGCTTGTGTTTCCTTCTCTTCGCGTAAACTTCTATTTCGATTGTTTCGATATTATCTATTGTCGATGGCTGCCGATGGGGGCACACTCTCCAATTGCCTATCGATGGTCCAAACAGCTGTTATTGCGATAGTTCGGTTTTTATTGCTTAAAAATAAATTTGTTTTAACGTTGTATTCTGTGCTGAATATTATGTACGTCGTAGGACGTGAGAGTCGTAAATACTAAGTGATAATCAAAAATCAAACTCATCGATTGCTTTGCAGTTGAACTTGTGTATTAAATCATTAGAAATAGCTCTGCATACTAGCTATTACAATAATACAAAATATGTTTTAATTTAATTCTAATACATATTTCTTAATTCAATTTTAATAAAATCTTGTTTTGTAAATATTAATGTTTACAAAATATTTACAAAACAAGATTTTTTTTTAAATTGCTAAACTGATATTTTGAAGAGTTTATTTCCAAACACCAATATTAGCTAATATTGTAAATATTTAAACTATCGTTAGGGGTTTCCCAAGAGACCAGCCCACTCCGATAACAAGAACAGCTGTTTCGGCCAAGTTGCAGTTTTGATGACATACTTTTTTTTGTTGGTAGCTGAGGAAAACAATTGGAAAAATACCTTTGAGTAACTAAAAAAAATGGCAGAGGTGCCGTCGCCGCAAATGACGGAACAACTGGACAACGAGGAGGTGCGGGAGATCCTGAAGAACACCACGGATCTGCGACAGTACTCACGACAGATTGAAAAAGAGTTTAAGGAGGTGGAGAATAAGTCCATAGAGGGTAAGCCCCACATTCCATATGCCATAACTCTAAACATCTCTCTTTTTGGCAACAGACTATATTGCTGAGTCCCAGAATATAGCCAACCTGCACAATCAGATAAACGATTGCGACGATGTCCTGGAGCGAATGGAAAATATGTTGATGAGCTTCCAGAGCGTTTTGAACAACATCAGCACCGAGATCACGCAGCTCCAAAGAAAATCCGTATCCATGTCCCTCCAACTGACCAATCGGCAATCGGTCAAGGCTCAGCTGTCCCAGTTCATCGAGGACATGGCCGTGTCCGAGGAGATGATCAACATAATAATGGAAACGCCGGTTACGGAGCGGGATTTCAGCACTCAGTTGAATGTGCTGAACCACAAACTCTCACTGGTCAAGGAGCTCAGCTTCAACGAGTCAAAGTCCACCAGCGATGTGAGCGATGTGCTGCAGAAGCTTCGACTTAAAGCCATGGCCAAGATTCGCTCTTACCTGCTGGAGCAGATTTACAAGTTCCGGAAGCCCATGACAAACTACCAGATTCCACAGAACGCCATGCTGAAGCACAAATTCTTCTTCGAGTTCATCCTGTCCAATGAGCGGCATGTGGCGCAGGAAATATGCAGCGAATACATCGATACGATGGGCAAAATATACTATAGCTATTTTAAGGTATGTTTGCAATGTTGCGGAAGCATAATTTCATTCAATTCATTACTTTCGTGCAGAGTTATTCCACACGCTTGGCGAGCCTCAAATTCGAGGAATCCTGCACAAAGGATGATCTGATGGGCATCGAGGATAATGCATCCAAAGGCTTATTTTCCAAGACAACGAGTCTGAAGCACAAAAGCACCATTTTCACAATAGGAAAGCGAGGCGATATACTTAACCAGCAGCTGGAGGCGCCTATTATAGTGCCACATGCGCAGCTAAAGAATCGAGTAAGATAAATGGTTCATAAACTTACAAAGGAAATACATTTGAAATATTAAACAGTACACAGTGGAAGCTCTCTTCCGATCCGAGCAATACGCCCTAGTGGATAATGCCTGTCGGGAATATCTCTTCGTTACGGAGTTTTTTATGGTTCGCGGCACCCAAGCGCAAGATTTGTTTAACCAAATCATGGGCAAAACCCTAACTCTGATGATTGTAAGTAAATGTTTTTCATTCTCGAAATGTAAGTCACTTATGTTTCTCTAACTTAGAAAAATCTGGAGACCTCCATACACGACTGTTTCGATACCATAGCCATGTTTCTGTGCATCCATCTCATTTTCCGCTATCAGCTAATGTGCCACAAGCGCTGCGTTCCTGCATTGGATAAGTGGGTCTATTTATGGGCGTTATTTCGGTACACAATTGACTTTTTCAATGTTTTAACTTCAGATATTGGGACTCCCTGCAAGCGGTATTATGGCCACGATTAGAACTTGTATTCCGCTTAAATATCCAGAGCATACATGACTGTGATCCAACCAAATTTAACAAGGAATTGGGACCGCACTATGTAAGTACACGACCTAAAGCTAGTATGCTAAACTTCATATTCTGACTAGGCAAAATAAGGGATAATAATACCGCATTCTAAAAGTCAAGAGAGGGCCAATAGAGATAAAACCATTTAGCTTGAACGAAAATGCCTTGTCATAGAAAACGAATATTTTGCAGATAACACGGCGCTACGCAGAGTTCAGTGCGGCCATTGTGGGAATCTCAGAGCATTTTCCTAATGAGTTGGTGAGCCGACTGCTTCTGGAACTGCAAAATGAAGTGGAGTGCTTTATCCTTCGCATGGCCGCAATATTTCCAACGCGAAAGGATCAGCTCATCTACTTGATAAACAACTACGATTTGGTTTTGGGTGTGCTGATGGAGCACACGCGCGATAATTCCAAGGAAGCAGAGGCATTTAGAGAGCAGCTCAACTCCCGCAGTGCAGAATATGTGGAAGAGATTCTGGCCCCCCATTTCGGAGGCATTATTCAGTTTGTCAAAGAGTGCGAGCACTTTTTCGAGAAGGAGCAAATGGATGAGCTGCGAAAGCAGGAGCGAAGAAGTCTAGCTTTGGTGGCCAGCTTCTCGGCCAACTGGAAGAAATCCCTGGAGGAGCTGAACAGGGAGGTGCTCCTCTCATTTCCTTCTTTGCTGACGGGCTCCCAGTTGCTGCAGCTCGCGCTGGCCAGTTTGGTGCAATACTACCACCGCTTCCACAAGCTCCTCACGCCCAATGCGCGCGCCCAGCTGACGAACATTCACGTAGTGATGGTGGAGATCAAAAAGTACAAGAGCAATTACTGAGGGACGCTTTAATTGAATGTGTGTAGTCTTCTGTGTATTCCAACTTGAATAAAGTTCCAAAATATATGTAAGTAAAGTTTAAGACTTAATCCTCATCCTCGAACATCATCTCGACGAGTTCCTGGTTGGAGCAGCGCTCGCCATCCAGGCGCTGTGGCTGCTTCCAGCGCAGCAGAGTGGGCAAGAAGATCAAATGTGTGTTGGGATCCTTGCGGAAGGGACAGTTCAGGTCCTTCCAGCTGCAGCGAAAAAAAAGTGTTATTTTATTGCTTACCACGGTTTGGTGATAACAGGCCGCATGAATGTCACTCAAGAGCATTGTAAAGCGAAAAGCTATCGGTGTTTAATGGTTGTTTTTATCATGAATGTTCTCGGCATGTGAATAAGCACTCGAGTGTTCATTTCATCATCGCACAGCGGCGCCTGAATGACTAGTTCCAATGTGCCAAAATGTATTAATCTCTATAATCGAATGAATATAGGTTTCGGCAACTGAATGACGTGGGAAATATGCATATGTGTACGTCATATTAAATGACTAAACTGTGTTGTGTTTGTGTTTTGAAACCATTTAAATTATCGAGAGCATTAATGGATAGAAACTACCAGATGTTTGTGTTTCACAGTGCATGAAATATAAATTGCTGCTTGTCTGACCGCAGCTGTTTTCCTTAGTAGGTGGTATTAACTTACTAGGCCCGCTCGCCCACATCCACATGCACAAAGTGCGAGTTGCCGGGGGCCTTCTTCAGCGCATCGTGTATCACCGGCTCCGCTGCAAACATACATATGCGTGATGAACGAGCTTGGAAATCGAATAGGCGGCGGTTAGCCGCATTGGGATCAGGGCATTCTCACCCTTGACGCAGTAGGGACACCAGCTCTGTCCATTCTCGTCCTTGCCGCCGCTGAACAGGACATGGACCGCCTCGTTGCCGTTCTCCAGTTCCTCCATCTTCTTGGAGAACTCATCGTATCCCTTCACGTTGTGTGTGACCACCATTATATTGCTGGGATTGGTATTCACCGCGTAGTAGCGACTGAGAATGCGACTGAAAAGCGTTGGAAGCGACGTGATGGCGAACTTTGGAGTAACTGACTTCTGGAGGGGAATGGACTTCTCCTAATTTATCAGGTTTTCTGACTTTTTGACGTAAAAAAAGCTTACTGTAACAGATGGTAGGGTTGCCAGCTTTCGCGCGTACTGGTACATGGCCATTTCCAAGCCACCTAGCTTTGGCTAGTAATGGTAATTATAGATTTTTAGCTATACGTTTAGATTTCGAAACGCATAAACGGGGAATACAATATATATGCTTTTTTTCCATTTATAAGATCTATTTGTAATATTGCCTCTAAGGCCTCCTAGTTCAAAAATATACATTTATTTTCAATAACTCTTAGTTTTTCTTTTTATAGTATTGAGAATTAATGAACCCACCATTATAGCTGGCTATAGCTATTTTAGCGGGAATGGCTCGATAATCCGCTAATGGATGAAAACGTGGCAGCACTATTTATATCGCTAAACAGCTGATTAGAATTCTTTTTTTCATAAAGTGTATTTATTTGTTTTTTACCATTGATTTCGTCTTAAACAATGTCACGGCTAGCTTTATTGCGCAATTTGGTCAGTCAGCGGCAGAATTTGCTCCCCGCCAACTTTGCCAGGCTAAAATGTGCTGCTGCGATGCACTGGAGTCCACATTTGCGGCAGGAGGCGTCGCGCGGTTTGTGCCTCAAACTTGTGATTAGGTTATACCTGGAGTATTTACTATATTATTTATGCAGACGGTGGCGGATCCCTTCAACGTGCCCAGGATAACACCCAGGTGTCCACGGATGTGCGTCCCATTGGCGAGAAGATCAAGGAGAACACTAAAACGGCTAGTTATACAGCCATTATAATCGCCGGATTAGGGGTGACCTGCGTGATGTTCTTCGCCATATTCCGGGAGCTATTCTCGAGCGAGAGCCCCAACAATATATATGCGGATGCGTTGAGCCGCGTGGTCGAGGATCCGCGCGTACAGGATGCAATTGGTGCGCCCATTAAGGGATTCGGCGAGACATCCAGGCGCGGACGCAGACAGCATGTGGCGCACTCCAGCTATGAGCGCCATGGAAAGCCTCACATGCGGATGCAGTTCTATGTGCAGGGCTTGAGGAACAAGGCCACCGTGCAGCTGGAGTCCAGAAGGGTAGGCGTGATGAATATTTTACAGGGCTCATTACTCTAATCCACAATTTTCCCAGAATGCCGCTGGCAAACTGGAATATCGTTATCTGTTCGTGCAATTGGATCACTATCCCCGCACGACCATCATCCTTGAGGACAACCGTGCATTTGATCCCGCTCCCGAGCCGGCGTCCGTTGGATCCTCTTTTGGCAACCTAGCCCTGATGTCTAATAGCCGGGATAAGTAAACGGATCCTTCCGATCTTCTGCTCTCCACTTAAATTTTCTGTACATTTGTTATATTTATTATTTGACTGACAATGAAATTGCAATTGGGTAACCAACCACAGTCGGCGTCGAGTCATTCGCCAATGGAGAAGTTGTCCATCTCCAAAATGGCGCCCGATTGGTGTCAGTAGAGCTTTTTCCAGGGTATGATCTCCCAGGAGCGCACGATGTGGCGTCCGAAGAGAAAGTCCTTCAGCTTGTTCATTATGTAAAACGAGATGCCGAAAAAGGAAGCGAAGTACAGCCAGAACTGACCAAGCCGTTCCCAAATGCTAAGATGATAGCGAGCGGCGACTTGGAGCACGTCCAGCTCCAGGTCAATGATGAGACCAGGTTCCAAGCGGGGTGACGTTTCCCTGTAGTATGTCTCCTGAACGGCCAGCTGGAAATAAGCAGGATTCGCCTTCACTTGCGCCAGTAGGGACTCCATTTTGAAGTGATCAATATTTTCGGTAGTAGAGTTTGTGCCCAAGTGAACCTGGCGAAACTGAGTCTTGATGTTGCGTCCCGGAAATGGACAGGTGAACTCCACGTATTGCTTCAGTTGCAGCTCTCCCTTCAGTTGAATGTGTCCATTTCTGAGGCGAGCGTGTAGGGGAAGCTGGAGCTGATGGGCCAGCACGGATGGAGGCGATAGATCGCACTTGTGCTGCAGTTCGGCCTCAAAGAAGACCAACAGATTGAAGCTGACTAGTCGCGTGGGCACATCCTGCAGCTCTAGCTGAAAGTGCGCCCGATCTGTTACGCCATCATAGTCCACATCCTCTGTCCAATATCTGGTGGTGGTGCAACTGTTAGTATAACTCTCCATTTGGGCATTGAACTGGCTGAAGCTGCTGCAGGCGACCAGCGATTCCTCCTCCTCGAATTCCCCCCGATCCGTTGTGCCCACAAATATGTACTCGTAGTTGAACTCAACATTCGGCTGCTCGTACAGGACCCTCGACTCAGATATTCCAGAATAAGGACTCAGCAGGGAAACGAGCAGAACGGGCAGCATTACAGAAAGCGCTATGAAGGCCAGCACCAGAAGCGAGGCAAAGGAGCACAGCGAGTTCTTGTACACAATCGCCGTGTTCGTCGTATGCAGCGGAATAAATTTCATCTTGGCTACTTTAAATGAAGCTTTTATTAGAGCACCTGCTCACTTGACACTTGCCACTGCCACTATGATTGCTATGAAAAGTTGTTTTCGTTGCCAGGCAACGCACAAAAAGGATTTCCACCACTGATTCCATTAAAACCCGGGCTTTCTACGTAAGTATTACGAATATGCGAATTTTTTATTTAATTAAGTGTTTAGTTATTTAGGGCTTAACGGAAAGAAAACATATATGAAGTTTGCGGACTTGAGTTTTCCGCCATAACGGTGGCATTGCTTTCGATAAGTCGATGTAGAATATCGATATGTACGAGGACTCACGGATAAGTCCTTGCAATGTATCGAAAGTAATGGCTGTTTTGAATTCAAATATATCCATAGAAAACGGCCACTTGGGAACTTTCAATAAACCATGAAAACTAAATAGTTGTAAAACCAAAATAAATCAATATTTTTAAATAAGTTTCTTGAAAAATCCCTCCTTACCCCATTCTATGCCTACATGAATGAATCGCCTCCCAAATCGCTTTATTAGCCACTGCCGGCCCATCCTCAACTTCTGGCGGTTGAGACAAGACTCCAACTCCATGCCCTCCAATGCACATCCGTTCCGGCTATAAGCCGATACCAAAAAAGTATTGATTGCACATAATTATAGGATTTGGATACGGGCCCTTTTGAAGCGCGCACAACCCACCGACTGAAGTGAAAAGTGAGCCTGCAAAGGGGGCATATGGGGGAATGGTACGAAATTGAAGAACGGAACGCATAACTTGGCCAACATTTGCTCATAATTAAGACCGCCAACTGGTTTTCGGTTTGGCTGCAGGAGGCTCAAAATGCTTTCGTGTGCACCGCGTAAAAATCGGAAGTTGCAGCTTTGCAGTTAATGCGCTTATTTTAAAGAGTGTTGAAAGCGGAGTACTCAAAAAAAGAAGAAAATCATACTATATATGTGCATAATTGAGCAGGCCTTTCGCCCGAGGAAAATTATGGAACATAATGGGATACTTAATACGATATCTGACCCGATTATCAGCAGAAAGTTTTAAAAATAGCAATAAACTGCAAGGTTGAATAAGTTATGGGGAATATGGGAAATTTAATTAAAATTTTTCCGGTTTTAAATTTTTACTCATATTTAATAAAATATCTAATGATATTTCTAAGATTAATATTAATGACATATTTAACATTTCCTAAAAGAGAACTTGCAATGAAGACCGTAATTTCTTATTGCCTGTCACCTTAGCAAGTTTCCTGTTTAGTTTTGTTCAGCCGAAAACTTGTACTTTTGATTTTGATTGGAGTATTTACCTTCTATTCGTGTCATGTCAGATTGGGAAAGCAAGTTTTGTGATTTGTCTTTTGCTGTGTGACATGTGTTTTGTGCATATTAAAAATGTGTGGTAAAAATGATGGGCTGCCAGTCGGTGTCAGAACTACCGAAAAATGATGAATAAATAAAAGTGAATCACATTTTGACAGCTACGTCGGCTTTATTTGCGATCAGCCGCAGCTCTGACAGTTTGCCCACAATTATTTCGCCTGATTCAACATCGTAGCATCCTGAATTTAAAAAAAAAAAATCAATAACTTTTCTACATTTTCTTTCTCCACATTGCCACGCCATTTTACAAAAAGGCCGAGGAAAAAGAAATGGGCGAAAAGTCTGTATGTAAAAGCCAAGATGGCAGACAAGCAGACAGATAGGGCGGGGGCTATATACGTATATATGTATATATATATTCAGATGTATACGAACGCAGTTGGAATTCAGCTCACGGCCCCAGGACAATGCCAGCTTGTGCCCATATATCCTTTTTCAACGAAATTTCAGCTTTCACTCGTTTCGCGTACGTGACCGTGTTGCCACCAAGGAGCTGTTGAAGTGGCAAATTCGCACAGCGCCACCATTCCATTTGGTATTGCTGCGGTGCTTGGAGGTGGGCTTGGGGTGGCTCTGGCTGGTTCTGGGTGGGTTGGGCGGAGCTGGGGTCATAGTGGTGGGGGAGTTGTGCGCCAGGTGGGCGCTGGCAAAAAGTAGCAGTTTATTAGGCGCACCAAATTAACATAGGACTACTAATGACTGCCACGGCAAACTAACTAGGCAGGCGAAAAGTTAGACTGCGACGTTAGCGGAGCAAGGAGGAGCCAGGATGCGAGAATTCGGCGCCGTGGCGGTGTCCTGCTAATTAGGTTGCCCAAAAGGTGCCAGGAGCCTGGAAAATTGTAATTTAGTTGATAAGAAGCAAGTGCCACTCAGCACCTTACTTTATCTATGTTGATATTCCAAAATAAAGTTTTGTCCCGAGTCCAAAAAAAAATATATAATTGCTTACCATCAGTATAATAAGTGTGCTTATTTTTGAACTTATGATTGGTTTAAAAAATAGGCTGTTTATTGAATTGATTATTGATAGAAAATGTAAGCACTTGCAGTTCGCGCGCTGAAAAGTATGCTACAAAATTTTGAAAATTACTTGGGCACATACAAATTGTTGGCTATATTGGATATATCTAAAATACCACGACACCATGGTTTTTGGAAAACAAAATCAGCCGCGTGAGCCAATTTATGCCACTCACTCGAGGGTGTTGAGCATTGAATGCCGGCTGAAAATGATTACAACGCCTGCGCGGATTCACATCATTTTTGCTCAGTCCAATGCGAATTCCCCGAACCGAGACCCCTTCAACTGGATGCTGGATTGGAAGGAAAAAGGGGAAATGCTCTCCCCGAAGCTTTTCCTTTTTGGTGGCGCCTAGCTCCCCAAGGAAATCAAAGGGAAACACAACGTATGGGGTACGTTGAGGCTGCTTTAATATTTATGCAGGGCTCATGTCTCTATCTGAGGAAAATTCCCCTTACAACACTCAAGTGGAGAAGTGTTATAGATGTGTACATGTGCGGGGTATTCACTCAAGCAAGCCACAGGACGAAGGACGAGGAATGGAGGTTGGCGTATGGGGATGCTGCCGAGTTCCTTTGGTGAACTATATTTGACAATCAAGCCGCAAGCATATGTTACCCGATAATTTGCCGAAAGTTTTAATGAAAGACATGGGACTCATTTTTCCTGCCACACTCTCTACTCTCTCTGTGTGTGTGTGTGTGTGTGTGTGTGCAGGAGTTAATGTCCTTTTTGTGTGAGTGCCGCCTCCTGCGGCTCAGTCGCCATTTTGTCCGTGTCTGTGTGCGCCAGCATATTTTGATGAGCTCGAGAAAAGCAAGTGTCCTTTCCGTCTTTCCGAGAATTTCCGTCTTGCAGTTTGTGGGCGTGGGAGTGTCTGTCCTCGGTTTATGCGTATAATTTCCATTTTATAAATGACTTTTCCGGACGAATTTTCCGACTAGCCGCAGGTCACTGTAATCACGCCATATCTGTTGAAAGTTTACAACTTTTTGCCAGCGTTTTCCTGAATACAAATTGCAAGGGTTTAGTTGCTCGAACTTTTGAGAAAATATTGCGTGTCTAGCTTGGCTTCGATTTGTTAAATAATATTTTGCACAATCTCTCTAAGCGATTGCCCAATTTATCATCTTAATTATTTTATAGGTATATTTACATATACTCAGCTTAGTATTTTCCTTTTATTCAAACCGTTAAAAACATTTATACATTTCTCAATGGCTGGGAAATGAACGCAAGCATAAATATTGCAAAATACAACGAAAACAGCAAAGTTTCTGTCATTTCCGCTGTGACAAATCTGTTCAGTTAGCATGATACTCATTTTAAAAAATAAAAAAGGGGTTTCGCTCGCAGCACCGACGTTTAAGTACTCTCACAAATTAATAAACACTTGTAGTTATTTCAATGTACGTTGTTTTTTGTTTTATCTGAATTTATAAAAGGACCCAGCGATATAATTTTACTTTCTGAAAATCCAGTACAATTTGTATGGCGAAGGGCATGATAAAAAGAGGCAATTTGAGAACATGGCACACGCCCACGAAAATTCGCCACCACATCCCGCTGGGCAGTGGAGCAGACGACTAAAAACTGGACATGTTCGTGGTGCCCGGGAAGTGGCATGAAAATCGGTGGAACGCTGCGGAGTATGGGGTGGAGGAGACACCATGTCATACAATTTTTCAGTTGTTGCGACTTCCTTGGTCCCTGTTGTTGATTTTTTTTTCGCCCCGCAATGGTAATAAGCGTAAAACTTTGACAGTTTGTTATCCGCATTTGTTTGGTGGCTTGCAGTTTTCATTTGCCAGCTTTTTTCCCCAGTCTTTATATTTTGTATATAGTTTTTTTTTTGTTTCTGGCTCACTGCTGCTACTTTTTTGTGCCCCCAGCGAGCACCTGTTAAAGTTGCCGGAATGACAGCAGCGGCACTTTCTAAACGGCTCGCCCGGGAGCTGCCGCATGATAAGCGTTGTCCACGAATGATCTGCCAGGTCCTCATCCTGGCTTCCTGGTTTTTTTTTTGTGGGTGTGCCCGGGCAATTAGAACAACAAGAAGCACTTATTTTGCGGTTTTCCCAAAGTATTTTTTCGGGTACATTTTCGTGTTCTGTTCAATACTTTTCTCACCTTTTTCCCAAAACGGAAGTAAGCGGTTTGGGTTATCTTAACCACTTTTCCGCTTTTTGGGCCACGCACCTACCGCATTTTTTGTGGTAATTATACATTTAAACATTTAATTGATGGATAACTGCGGTTGGAATTGTAAAAAAGTACGTCGACCACAATTAAGGATCGCCTCTGTCAAGTTTATGACATGGAATTAAATGAATTGAACGGTTTTTCTCAGGTATGCCAAAGAAGTTACTTAAAATAAACGCTACAGATGTTGATTAAACATACTATTATTTGCTTAAAATGTTTAGATTGAAGTAAATCTTTGCGGTGACATACAGAAACAGGATTTCACTTTGGACTGCGTACAACGATTATAATGGCCAAAAGTGCCTAGGACATAAGATTCATCTGCGATACGTGTTCGGGGTCTCTTAATCGCCACGAAAACAACAAGGGCAGCAGCAGCAACACTATATCCTTGGGCCACTATTGCCTTATGCTAGTCCTGCGACATCCATAGTCCGACCAACGAACAACGAACAGCAATTAAAACGGATTAAAAAGGCAGCAAATTGATTTATGAGCCAA